CGGGTGTGTCATCATTTAACCCACCATTCACCATTAAGCTAACAATACTAATTTCACACTTTCAAAATTTAAATTTGATACTACAATTCTGGATACTTAATTCTTAATAACTATGAATAATCGAAAGAACTATCCCGTAAGCCAAAGAAGTAATTAATCATAGGGCTTGGGTCTATAAAAATGTTGAGCCCCCAGAACTTTAAAATCATCTAAAAAATGAAGGCCAATTACCTAGGTTTGGTCTTCTCTACTATCTAGGTTTCGTCTTCTCTACTAACTTCATAATAAACTCACTTGTTCTCATTTTCATTTTTCTTCTTTCTAGAGGGACTAGGGAATTCAAATTTCGAGGGCACACACACCCTTCAAGAAACTCTAAATTTTAAACAAACAACAATAATTCTTGTTCATCAAGCTAAATATTAAACATAAACTCCCCTTATAATTCTAATAAAAAAAAGGTTATAAAAAGAGGGAAGAACATGAAAAAAAAATTTAGAACTCCCCTTATGTTTAATATTTAGCTTGATATATGGCTTCAGAAAAGAGGTATGCATTTAGAAAATTTTAGGGAGAATTTGTATAGGTGATAGAAGAATATATATAAAAAAATATCTTCGACTAACATTGGAGTTGATTCAAAATTATCAAGAGATATCTACAGGTTAAAAGTATGGGGGAAAAATACTAGATCCTATTTAAGACATACCTTAACCAAACATACCAGTGAATAATTATCAATAATTTTGTGGAAGAAAATTATGAAATTTAGGAAAAGGCGTAGGAGAGGTAAAACAAAATTCCAAGAAAAAAAAAACTTAAATTAAAAATATAAAACTACTACTCACCAAAGAGGGAGATTGGAACCTACTGGCAACCAATTTGTTGCCTTCATTATAACAATTGATTTTTAAACAAAGAACTTTTATTCGTTTATTCCTATTACATCAGCACTAAATATAATACTTAGTGCTCAATTGCTACATTCATATTTAAACACAAGAGCCACTTGACTACAACAGTTATAAGATGTGATTATGGGCGGCAGGCGGTGACGATCAACAGTAGTCGACAATGTCCAGCAATCAATTCTCAAACATTTTGGTCTTTCGACAAGTAAATTTCCTCAACAGTTGACTAGACAGTCCATATTGAGTCCCTTAGAACCTAAGTGATTTTTTAAAGATTTAGGTGCCTTAATAACCTCAAAATCTAGCGATATTGAGGTCGTTAGACTCTTAGATCATATGTGATTTTTTAAAACACATTTATTTAACATATTTTATAAATGTCCTATTATTTCTAATAATAGGCTAATCAAGAACTTATAAACTTTTTAAGTTTTTTCCTAAAACAATTTATATCTTAATCAAACACACCAATGATGATTTGTTTCAAAATAAAACATAAACAAAAATAATAAAAACAAAAAATAATAATAAAATTGATCTCAAATAACCAGTAAATAAAAGCCTACACCAAGCCTCGATAAGCCAACCAATTTTCACCATTTGACCATTCAATAATATCAAATTTAGAGTTTATTTGACCATTCATTGGACCCAAATTGAACCAATTTTCACATCATTTGGTCCGTCTTATCAAGGCAGCTTGACTGAAATCGGGGCACATATGATCTTGAATTTCAATTTTAAAAATCCCTTATAAAATATGCATCAAAATATCTGCTTGATAAATATTTGTTATTGACACATCAATTATATATATTTTAACAAGTGAGATTCCTTTCCATAAAAAAAGGATAAAATGAATAACATGTTGATAAATTTTTTATAAAAAATGAAGAAAAAATTACTGATTTTTTTTTTTAAAAAGTCGTAATCCAAAACTAAGCAATCAACAAGCAATTTAATTAAAAAATGTTAGCCTAGATAAATCTATTTATCCTAAGTTAGGATCATGCCTAACAATTAATTGATCATTTATATGATAGTATAATAATGAATTACTTTATAACTAATTGATCTAATAAAAGACTAATGAAAACCCAATATTTGATCATTGCCAAGATTAATTAAACCCTATTTAAATCACAACTAGTTAGATGGTTAATATACTAAGCAAAAATTAAATAGTAATTTGTTAGTATAGTTACTAAATGAATTTGTGTTTAACTAACATAATTATGGAAATTAACTTATGTGCAAAATCATCATTTTAGCTTCATCCCAATACTTCAACTTCATCTAATAAATGTTCATACTTTATTCCGATATGGCATAATATTTCATTGATCCTTTCATTTTGTCAAAAATATTATAACTAATTTTATATTTTTTATTGAAAATTTATTTTGCAAGAACATAGTATCCCTGTCAGATGGTGGACTGATTGCTTTGCTTAAAATATTTTTCGCTAACCACTATAATCCCTCTTCTCAAATAAGAGCTACTAGTCCCAATTACTCGTTAAATCACACAAAAGTCACAGAAGCACGTGAATTTATTAGCTAAAAAATCAAATAGCCAAATCTAAATTTTTAGGTTTCAAAGTAAATTCTTTTATATATATATATATATATATATATAAATTAAAATCCATTAGTGAAAGGTACATGTACAATTCGAGGAAAAAAATTTTACGAACCAAATGGGCTAGACGGTGATAGACACTTGCCCCACTAGTTTTGAGGTAAAAAAAACATAATACAGGTACATGTACAATTTGAAAGTTTCACCCTTAAATAATTTTGCAATTATGCAAATTATAGCTTACCCCCAACTAACATACACTACATAATGATTAAAAAAAAACTTCAACCCATACAACAAATTATATCAATGATCTATTACAATAAATTTACTAAATAAGAAATATCTGTTATTCAAATATCAACCAATAATACCAAATAGTAAAGTTCCAATATCATCCACATTTAGCTTGGATATTAAGTCGAGCACAGTAAAACAATTTGTTTATATATTGATAGAATATAATGACAATATAAAAGTAGATCACAATTCTAAAAGAAGCCTGAGATGGGCATGGAATACAAAAATAAAAGACATGGTTTCATCACAAGTATTAATACTGTCAAGTATCCACACAAAGTTCTATTACGCAAAAAATAGTGGAAAATCTTAATATTATGGCATATAAAACTTCACTAAATTAGTAATACAACAAAACATGACAAGAATTTTCTAATGATGCATAGATAACCAAATGCAACAAGAGAATACAACTGCATATGAAAAAAAATGCAAAAGAACTATAGTGATTTGATGATAACAATGGCAAATACTTTAGGAAAAAATCAATATATTATATCCATTATATCAGTTAATAAAACAACACTATAATTCCTCATCTTTACTAAGGGGTTAAGATCTAATGCTTAAATAACTAAAACGAGAAGTTTGATGTATTACATATAATACTATGTCAACCATGAAACATTATTATTAGTTTGGAGCAATATATACAATAAAAATTTTATCAATTTTTGATTTGTATGCACAAAGAAAATTCTTAAACAAATAAATAATCATTGCTTAGTAATGAAATAAAAAAAGACAATTGAAAAATTAATCTCATGTTTTATAATAAACATAAATTCTCATACTATTCAAACCAAACAAAATAAAGAATAAGCCCTATTCGTTGCCAATTTCATGTGCACAAAATGAATTACATGCCCAAAATATAAATGCATTTTATCATAAAATGAATCTAAAATATAATTAAAGGCCAACTTGAAATTTAATAGTAATAAAAAAAAGAAGACATGGAAGGTGCACAAAAAAAAATATAATAATAATAAAAAGGAAGAAATATCTCAAGCATCATAACAAGCTCATAATATTTATAGTAACATACAAACCATCATCAATTAAAACACTTTCTAAAAGTAAAGTGTCAACAAAGAGACAATGGCAACGAACAACAAAAACTTCTAAACGGCAAATACCTAAAAATAGATTGGAATTAAAGCTAAACATATACACAAAAACAGTGCTACAAAACATAACTAAAAACAGTAATAATGTCAAAGCAAGACATGAACCACCATTCCAATTATAAGCCACAATGCAGGCATCATGCACGAAATATAAAGCAGATATACTTCTCATTCGGACTCTTTGAGTAAAGTTGGCAACAATTATTGGAATTGAATTTAATAAAAATAAAATCTTGTCTACCACATGTACTCCTCTTTGCCATTAAAGCGTTCAATGGATGCAAGTTCCAATGTCATGTCAAGTTCTACAGCGCAGACATGACCCAAGGTTGAAAATTTATACAAAGATAACCCCGCGGTCAAAAACAAACAGCGATATCACATGGAGAAGAAAGCGTATAAGGTAAAGAATAGAGTTTTGCCATTAAACCCGCATTCAAACACGCTAAAATATTAAATTTATAAAAACTGTGATGATTGTAATCGGTTAGTTAGAAGCTGCTAATGAGATAAACTTAGAGTTAACGGAGGGAAGATAAAAGGACTTAGGACGACTCAATCACTACTCTTTTCAATAGTAAATTATAGATAGATGCTGAACTCTCGAATAAAGTATAAGAAAAAGTACTTCAGAGTCAAACTACAGTGCCCGAGCTTTGAAATGCAACACAGATCCTACATTCATCGTAGAAATGAAAATTATACGGAAAACTAGCAGCTTTAAGAACATCAAGATCTATAAAGAGAGCAGATATATCGAAAATAAAAGCTTAAAGAACAGTCCAGGAAGAAGTATAATTAAGCAGCGGCAGCCAAAGTCGTTTATAGAACAATATCGATACAAAAAGTTGCAATCTTGCTTTGGTCGCTTTGCATTTAAGATTAGATCGTAATCTGCGGAATATAAAGATAGTAGTTTTGAGGCAGAAAGAGGAGAATAACTTGAGAAAATTGATAAGCAGAAGAAGAACACTAAGTAGCGGCAATTCAGGAGATCACCTATCCGTTTGCAAACAATATTCCGACGCAAAGGTGCGACCTTTAAAAAAAATGGCAGTTTTATCGACTGAAAGGGAGAAACTTGAAATAATAATAGCAGGCAGCGTAACGGAGAGAAGTCATATAATTATGCGTACACAACAATAATAATAATGTAAAATATGGCAAACTTGCGTTGTCCGCTTTGCATTTCAATACCTAATACAGCAGATAAATAGTAAACCGAAGAAGGAGAGGGAAGAGACATAAGATCAGTTTATTGCATTACCATAAGTTGCACCGCCGAGCATACCGCCGCCGCCGCTGTAAACGTCAGAGGGAAGAGACGAAGAAGCGCCGCCGCTCCGACCAGCGCCGAGATGAAGCTCCGATAGGTTGGGAACAGCGTTATTGTTACTACCGCCGGTCATGGGGGAAGATTCGGTGAAGTCACCACGCCCATCATCAACCCCTTGGTCATACAAAAATCCTTTGAACACATGTCCGCCGATGTTCACAACAGCTTGGTAAGCGTATTCGTCTTCCCCATCGTCGACTGATGTTACTCTCACGCACTTGAACACCGCCGGCGCTCGCACGTGGCCGGGGAGATGCTCGCGGAAACTGGCTTCTGCTAAAAGTTCCAATTTTGCTTACGCGGGGAGGAATAAAGAAAAGGGAGAGGGAATAAAGGTGTTACCTTGGTGGCTAGAGCTGGTGTCGAAGCTGCGAGGTGGGGTGTTGGAGGTAGAAGTGTGGGAAGTAGTGGTGGTTTGGGAGGAAATAAGGCGGGGTTTTTTGGGGGCGGATGTCGAGGTTGAAGATCCGGCGAACGCGGCGGCACAAGCGGTGGTGCCTGACAGCTGACGCTCCCGGCGGCGAGCAGCAGGGACCCACGTGCTTTTTATGTGCGTGGAACATTCAAAACCGCGGCTTTTACAGCAAGTTCTGCATCGCCGATGGGTGCAATCCTTTTTGGCTTGGTTGCCGCAGTCCTGGCAGGTGGGGGAGCCACTGGATACGGAGAGTATACCGGAGGAATTAGGGTTAGGGTTTTGGGAGGGTGTGGGCTGGCCGTGACAAGGGGCAGCTGCAAGGAGAGGGATGATGGGGTGCTCGCCGGAGAAGAGCATGGGTTCGTGATGTGACGGCGGTATTGTAGGAGCCACGACGAAGACATCGCGTACGCCGACCATCCCCATGTCGGTGATGCCATAATTGAGTTGGTGGCGAACAGATGCCGACGAAGTCGGCGCCCAAAATCCGGCCGCGGGCGCGCGCGCCCCCCCCGCCGGCATTAAATCCAAGTGAAAGATCTTCCGCTCTAGCAGTGGAGGAGGAAGCAACCCAGTCGGCAAATGCTCCGGTGTCGGAAGGAAATCGTCTTCCAGAAGCCACTACGAACTTCTTATATACTCGCACTGCTTTCACTAAAAACCTATAATTGCCTGTCAATGGCTACAGCTCTGTAGATGAAATGCAGAAAAAAAGAGGTTTTTGGTCGGGAAAAAATGATTTTTTTTGGGGGGTAGAATTTGGTGAGAGAGGAGAAGCAAGTGGGGACTCTGAAATTCCTTCTGATGGTTGTTTTCTCGATCACACGCGATCTGTTTTCGCTTTGTTCTATTTCTCTCACTAACTTTGGCGCCTTCACTCTCTGCTGATCTTCTGTGCAGTTTTTTCCTTTCTTTTTTTCCTGCTGTCACTGGTGCCCCCTGCTTCTACTGCCGCTAGCTGCTGCTGCAGCTGTTCTGCGTCCTGCTCCTTGGTCCCTTCGATGTTGTTAAAAGCAAAAGCTCTGCACCTCTCTCAACACCAAGGCGACTGACCACTAGCCCCTCTATTTCTCTCTCATGCCCTCTCGTAGCTCCCAGCTTATTTGATCTCTCCAATGGCTCACTGGCATCTTATCCCATTTCTCTTTCTACCTCTATCTCTATCTGCTGTCTCACTCTCTTCCCCTGCTTTACTGGTGGTGGGCTTTCTATTATTCTTCCCCCGCGGTCACGTGATGGATTGGTAAAGGCAAGTGTCGTAAATGGTTAAACGGCATGGAGAAGAAAAGAGAGGCCTATGGCGACACGTGCAAGGCAAAGCTGTCAACTTTCATTGCCGCCGAAGGGTTGTTTGTGACTTCTCGGCAGAGGATTTTAGTGGAAGCAATGCGTTGGGATACTGTTTTACAATATGATAAGGTATTATTATAAAAATATTATCGAGTTAAATAAGAAATTTGTTGAATGATGAATATATTTGATATATATTATATATCAAGAATGTGTTAGCATGAGTCTCCATGTAATCCAACAGCTATAAGAAAGAGCGATATGGCAAAATATGACTACTTGTTAGGTATGTCTCATATATCATAAAGGGATATGTACTGGAGCGGATCGGAAAGGAATATTCTGTTCAAATCAGGGGTGTTTCCTTATATGGATTGGGGGTGCGGTATATGGGTAATTTGGTAATTATATATTGTACTTTAGGGTTTTCTAGGATTATAAATAGACATGTATGTAACCTTATGTCTTATCTCAAATTATATTATGTATTCTGTTCTTTTTTCGGATTAGTGGAAAAGCCGCCGCTCTGCTTCCGATGACGTAGGTATCTTTGCCAAAACTCGTTAAATCTCTGTGTGTTCTTCTGAATTTGTGTCGATTCATATTTTTCTTCGTCCTAATTTCTCAACAAGTGGTATCAGAGCCAAGTTCTATGGCAGGGAAGAAAAATTTTGACGGCGCGGGAACAAAAAAGATTTTGGCCGAGGAGTTCGAGAATTTTGAAGACTAGGGCGCCCGTTTAGCGCAGAATTCGCGACATAGAACTGGACGAAGGACTTTGCAGGGGATCAAGACATATCGCGACCGGAAGGCTTTGGTTTGCCGCGGGAGGCAGAGCGCTTTAGTGGGAGGTGATTTCCAATTCTTCTCCATGCGAAAGATAAGGCGCACATTTCGGACCAGAGACGGGAAATTCCGAAGCAAGAAGTTGATTCGCAGGCTGAAATTCCTTCGGAGGCTGAAATTCTAGAACTTCCTTTGTTGAAGGCACCTCGGAAGGAATATTATCTGGTTAACAATAAATTTCTTTGCTCCTGGGAGGCGGAAGATTATGAATTTCCTTTGTTTGGGGAGGTCTGATTTCCTTTAGAAGCGGGATCTGAATTGTTTCCTTGCTGGTTCGTAGAGGCGGGAGCGGGAGATTGATTTCTCGATTTGCTTCCTTCCCTGATTCGAAAATTCCTTTTCGAGCGGAAGAATTGGCTTCCTTAAGGACGCAAAGAAGGCAAGGAATAGGCGAAAGGATCTTGAATGAATTTTTCAGAAAAGTTTTGTTGCATGTTTAATTTTCAAATGATAATTTCTTATGCAAAATTTGAGGTGGTGAAGTTCGATGGAGCTGGTAACTTTGGATTATGGCAAACAAGATTAAAAGATCTGTTGGCTCAATAGGGAATCTTGAAAGCTTTGTGGGCAGCAAAATCAGATGTCGTGGAGGATGAAGATTAGAAAGAATTGCAACAACGAGCGATAACAATTATACGTCTATGTCTGACAGATGAAGTTATGTATCATGTGATGAATCTAAAATCTCCAGGGAGGTATGGAAGAAATTGAAAGAAATTGAAAACTCAAATTGAAAACTCAGTTTATGACTAAATCTCTGATGAATAAATTGTATCTGAAGCAAAAATTGTATGGCTGAAGATGCAAGAAGATTATGATCTGGCTAAGCATGTTAATGACTTCAATCAAATAATCACAGACTTGTCATGACTTGATGTGAATATTGAGGATGAAGATCGAGCGATGATTTTGTTGTATTCATTGACATCTTTCTTTGAACACCTGGTGACCACTCTTACATATGAGAAAGAAACTATCAAAGTTGATGAGATGACTGCAGCATTGTTGGCTCAAAACCAGCGAAAGCAGAATGCAACGGAAAGCTCTCATGGCGACAGTTTATATGTGAAGGGTAATCAGGATCGTGGAAGGAAGAAAGAGAAGGAGAGTTCTAGAAGGCAAAATTCTAGATCCAAGTCAAAAGGAAAAAAAACAATTCATTGCAACAATTGCAATGAGTCAGTTCATTTGAAGAGAGATTGTCCAAAGCTCAAGAAGTAGACTTGGGAGAAAAGTGATGAATCATCGAAGTCTGTAAATGTGGAGCAAAATGACAGTTCAGATTGTAGTGATGACAATATGCTTTCAGTTTCATCAACTCAGTTCACGGATGCATGAATTCTTAATTCAGGATACTCTTATCACATAACACCTAACATGAAGTGATTTACTTCATACAGATCAACTAATTCTGGCTCAGTTTATCTAGGTGATGATAAATACTGCAATATCGTTGGTATTAGAGAAGTCAGAAATAAGATGTATGATGGTACAGTTAGAACATTATGTGATGTCAAATATATTCCAGATTTGAATAAGAATTTGATTTTCATGAGCACTTTATACAGAAATGATTTTATTCCTAAGGCAGATGAGGATAGGGAAACCATCAGAATTGTTAAGGGTGCATTGACTGTAATGAAAGGAAAGTTAACTACAGGTAATATCTATAAATGTTTGGAGAGTACAGTTGTGGGTGAAGTTCATTCTATGGAGTCAGATGATTATAGTACAAAGTTATGGCATATGCATCTGGGTCATCAAAGTGAACGTGGGATGGCGAAATTGCATAGAAGAAATCTGTTGCATGGTGTTAAAAGTTACAAGCTTGATCTTTGTAAATTATGTGTTCTTGGAAAACAGACTAGAGTCAGTTTTATGACTGAAAAACATAAAACTAAAGGGATTCTTGATTATGTGCATTCTGATGTATGGGGCCCTACCCGAGAATCGTCCTTAGGAGGATCTCAATATTTTGTTATCTTTATTGATGATTTCTCCAGAAAATTTTAGGTGTATTTTTTGAAACAGAAATCTGAAGCTTTCTCTAAATTCAAGCTGTGGAAAGCTGAGGTGGAGAACCAAACTTATAGAAAGATCAAGTATTTGAGATTTGATAATGACACGGAGTACACAGATTCGCAGTTTCAAAAGTTCTGTAAGGAGCATGGGATGCAGAGACATTTTTTAGTGTGCAAGACACCACAACATAATGGTGTGGCAAAAATGATGAACATGTCATTAACTGATAGGGCAAGATGATTGAGACTGAATGTAGGGCTTTCTAAGAGTTTCTGGGCAGAGGCTGTGAATATGACATGTTATCTCATCAATAGATCACCTCGGGCATCGTTAGGTGGCAAGGTCGTAGAAGAGGTATGGACAGGTAATCCAGTTAATTTCGATCATTTAAAGATTTTTGGTTGTCCTGCTTATGTGCATGTACCTGGAGATGAAAGATAAAAAATTGATGCAAAATCCAAGAACTGCATCATTCTGGGCCATAAGAAAGGTGTGAAAAGATATAAGTTTTGTGATCCGATTGCAAAGAAGATGGTGATCAGCAGAGATTCAGTTTTTTTATGAACAGTCCATGTTGTAGCAGAATCAAGACAAGGTGTCAGAGAACAGTTCAAGTTTAGATGCAGTGCAGATGAATTTAGAACAACATCCAGAAACAACTGAGAGAGTCAAAGGTTCAAATTCAACACATGGTGATTCCATTCTAAATGATATGCATAATTATAATCTAGCCAGAGACAGACAGAGACGCACCAATATAAGGCCTCCTAGTAAATTGGGTTATCAAGACTTGGTCTCTTGTGCACTTCTCATCAACAGCGATGATCTAGCCACTTTTCAAGGAGCAATCACTAGCTAGGAGAAAGATAAATGAATGAGTGCAATGGTTAAGGAGATAGAGTCTTTGCAGAAAAATCGCACATGAGAGCTAGTTCAACTTCCTTGGGAATGAAGACTATTGGGTGCAAGTGGTTGTATAAAAGGAAACTAGCAATATTAGAAAAAGAAGGGGAAAAGTTTAAGGCTCGGCTGGTAGCAAAGAGATTTTCACGGTAGAAGGGGATATATTATGATGAAATATTTTCTCCTGTGGTCAGACATACTTCAATTAGTGCAATGCTTGCATTAGTAGCCATTTGAGATTTGCATTTGGAGCAGATAGATGTTAAAACTTCTTTCTTGCATGGTGATCTGGAGGAGCAGATTTACATGGAGCAGCCAGAAGAGTTCACTCAACATGGACATGAGTATCTGGTTTGTAGGATAAAGAAATCACTACATGGGTTGAAACAGTCTCCAGGACAATGGTACAAGCGGTTCAT